TCCATTCTGCGTGCACCTAAAACCAGTGCCACAGGGATGATGCCAAGGTCTGCTGCCAGCTGGAGCAGTAGCCAGTAACCGTAGGGGTTGAGTGCCTGGATTGCTGAGCACTCTGAATTTAATACTGAGGAACGTGGTACACTGGAGCTTTCTTCTCAAGCCAAAATCTTTCACTTTTGCAATTTTGAGGCTGCAAAGGGGAGTCCTGTTGCTTCTTGTGATGCCCTCAGGTCATCTTTTCTAGTCTCCTGTTCCTTCTCAGCAATCAAGATTTCCTCCATTCTATCTCTGCAGTCCACAGCTTTAATGAAGCTTCCTTTCTGGCCGAACTCACAAATGTTTTAAATCATTCTGCTGGGATCTTTGCTCTTGATTCTTAACATAAATCTGGCTAAAAGTCACACCAACAGTAGCCGTGCCACTGCTTCAACATTACACTGCCCTGAAATTTCTTCTGCTGCTGCTTTTAATCTCAGTTTCAGGCAGTCTCTGGACATGAGCAAAACACAGACAAACTTTCTGACAAGCCACAACACACATCATCTGGACTCCACCAGCCAATACAGTCCTTCTTCCCAGCGGAAACCTTCCGAACCTGGTCTCTTACAGCAGGATTTCTATCAGCCTTCTGGTTTTCTGAGCTCTGACTAGAATCTCCCATACAGCACAGCGTAAGGTGTTCCAGCTTTACTTTTTTTAGTCAGCACTTTCAAATCTTTCCAAACTCTTCCTACAAGCCATTCCCAAAGGCTCCTGAACCACATGGTCAGGTATACACATAGCAACAACCCCATCTCTCTGGTACCAAATTCTGTCTTAGTTACTTTTCTCATTACTGACACAAAATACTCAACACCCAAATTTAAAGGGAGAAAAGGTTTCTTTAGTTCACAGTATGCAGAGATTTCAGTCCATAATCGGCTGGCTCCAAAGCAGGACGGCACATGGCAGAGGGGTAAACATTCATGGCAACAGAAGATAACAAAAGACATTGCTGGGATTAGAGCAGTGCCAATCCAATCAGTGGGCTGATCTAGAAATCAAACAACCTTAATCCGAGCACTGAACCAAGAATCAATCACAAACTCTAGATTCAGCTACCTCCAAAAAAGCCCCATTTAAAAGTGCATGAGCCTTTGCAGGGGGAGGGCATCTAGACACAAACCACAAGGCTGTCTCAAAAAGGAAAAAAGCATTATACTTATTCTGAAAGTAATGCTAAAGGAAATCCTTAAATCTAAATGAAAAAGAATTAGAAAGCAACTGTAAGCCTTACAAAGAAATAAGTATCTCCAGTGAAGGTAAACAAATAAAGATAACTGCTACTGTATCTTTGATTTGTATCTTTATGTTAAATTCCTGTAAGATTTTAAAAACAAATGCACAAAAAATGTGTGTTACAGGACACAAAGCATGAAGATGTACTCTGCATCAAACAGCAAATAAAGAGGGGAAGAATGGGAACAAAGATTTATATCCCATTGCGAGTAAGTTGATATTAATTTGAACTACACTGTTAAAAAATTAGGCCATTACTAGTTATCTTCATAGTGAATAAAGAAAACAACTAAAACTATGCATGACAGAGAATCAAAATCATTCACTACAAAACTCAAACACTAAAGCCAGTAATGGATGAAATGTTGGATAAGACAAAACTGGCATAAGAATCAGACAAAACAATGAAAGGCCTTAAATATATGATAAATACCGTGGCCCAGGATTAGAATTTTAGCTATTCAGGAAGCTGAGGCAGGAGGATCACTTGTGCTCATGAATTTAAGACCAGCCCAGGCAAAATAATGAAACCCCACTGCAAAAGAATAATAGATAAACTATCAGTGGTTACTTTAAATGATGGAATTAAAGCAAAAGATTTTAATAATAATATAAACCAACAAGACCTGGATGAAATAAATATATACATAAATATATATATCCATACAAAATAAAATATATACATTCATCTCAGGTACACATAGAACATTCTCCAGGAAAGACTATTCCAGGAAAAACTGTATGTTTTGCCACACCAAAATCATGCAGAGCACCTTTTCTGGACACAATGAAATAAAACTAAAATGATAACAGAAAGAAAACTGGAAAACTCACAAATACTGCAAATTAAACAATAGTCATACATAACTACTGAGTCAAAGACAAATCACCATGGAAAAAAGAGAAATGAGAAATGAAAACACAACATTCCAAAACATAGGGGATGCAGTGAAGGTACTGTTCAGATGGGTTTCTATAAATCTAGGTCTCTACATTAAAAAGAAAATTGCAAGTCAATAACTTCACTGTAGACCTGAAACAAAGAAAAAGGAGAAATTAAACTATAGTTAGCAAATGGAAATAGATTATATGAGAAAACTATGAACAACTGCCAACAAATTAGATATATGTAAATGGACAAATTCCTGTAACATACAAATTACCTAAACTTACTGGGGAAGATATACAAAAATCTCAGTAAATTATACCTAAAGAGACTAAAATCTCTAACAAAAAAAAGCTCAGAAAAACCCTTCATTAGTAAATCTTACCAAACATTTAAAGAATCACTACCAATTATTTTCAAACTTTCTCCAAAATTAAAGAGGGAACATTTCCTAACTCATTTTATAAAGCTAGAATTATTCTGATACCAACATTAAAGATAATATATGAAAACTACAGACCCTATCTCTTATGAATATCAATGCAAAATTCCTCAGCAACTATACTACAATAATTATATATATAACATGACTAAGTGTGGATTGTAAAAGAAATACAAGAATGGTTAAACATAAGAAAAATCAATATAATACACATCAATAGAAAAAAAAAACAATCATACAGAAAAACTGTACGTAGTAACACCCAAACAACCTTTCTGTAACTGGAAAAAAAAAACAAAAAACTAGAAATTAGAAACTGAAGGGTACTTTCTCAGCATGACAAAGAGCACTGAAAAATCCACAGCTAACAGAATTCTTAATGATGAAAGACTGGAAAGACTGAAAGCTTTCCCTAAAAGATCAGTAAAAAGAATAGGATGCTCATTTTTACCACTGATATTAAACAATATACTCAAGGTCTACATGGAGCAACTGGACAAGAAAAATGCAAATGGCATCAAAATTAGAAGAGAAAAAGTAAAGTTACCTTCATTTACAGATAAAATGATCTTGTAAGAATCCATTTAAAAGGTATTAAAGCTAAAAATTACAGCAAAGTTACAAGATATAATATCAATACACAAAAAGTAGTTGTATTGTCATATTTCTGTAATCAATGACTCAAAGAGGAAATTCAGAGAACCATCTATCTTGCAGTACAATTGAAAATAATAACATACCTAGAAATAAATTTAACCAAGGAAGTAAGGTATGTGCACTGAAAAGTTATAAAGATTGCTGAAAGAAAATAAAGACCTAAATAAATGGAAAGACACCTCACATTCATGGGTAGGAAGATTTACCATGACTAAGACTGCAACATTATCCAAAATCAGCTATAGTTCCAATGCAATCCCTACCAAAATTCCCATGCCTTCTACTCATAAATGTGAAAAAGTGATGCAAGATTTATTAGGGGAGAGAGTAATGAAAATGTTTTAAAATTGATTTAGTGAAGGTTATACAATTCTGTGAATATCTGAGAAGCATTATGTTATATACTCATAAAGAGTGTTTAGTTTGGCATATAAATTTTATCTCAAAAAAACTATTTAAAGATATAGATAGTTCATGTTGACTGTCTAATACTCTTATCTTTATTCTCTTCAATGACCTCATCCCAAAATTATTCCTCTATCTACAAGTAACACCTAAATCTTTGTCATCAGCCCTGACTGATGACAAAAATCTTCATTTTTCAGACATCCAGACCAGAATTTCCCCACTTCCTGAAAATGTATGAGAGGACCCTACTCCAGCACACCTGGTCTTCCCTAGCAGGTGCCACAATCTTAGTCATCCATGCTAGTATCTCTGCCTCACTGCCACTTCCCTTACCTCAACAGTCAATCATCAGTTTGTCAGCTCTACCTCCACAGTATCTTTCTTTCTTTGCCTTCCAATGTATTAAGGCATTATTTCAAAACAGCATAATTTCCCATTTTTCAACTCCTCTTCCAATACAGCATTTTAATCCCATATATAGATGAAAGTCAAAGTTTAAAACATACCATACTTCCCCCTTCTCAAAACCCTTCAGTAGCTCCCCAATCACTGAACAATAAAACTGCATTTCTCTACCGCTTCAGTCCTCATTATCCATGAAATGGAATTAGCTCACCTAACTAGTGTCACCTCTTCTTGTCATTCTTATGCCGAACATGTTAGTCTCCCAAAAGTATTCCTTTAGCATGCCATAGCTTTTGTGTCTGGCTGCTTTTTATTAGAATCTTCATTTAACAAAAACCTTCATCTTCCAGCATCTATACATCTTTATTATTCTTAAAATGTAGCTTTCCTCAACTCTAAGATATCATTAAACTGTAAGATGTTTGCCAATGTTAAAGATGGAAATGTGAAAAAATACATGTCTTAGACACAGTAAAATGTAAATCTCTTAAACTCCCTCATTATAGTCATTACAGTGTTTATATTTATTTATTTACTACTGAAATTTTTTGTATTACAAGCTAATACTGTTGACCTCCTTTTTGAATTATAGACTCCTGAGGACAAAAAGTCTGTCTTGTTCATCTATGATACAATAGAAATCCTACTAGTTTTAGTAAGACAATCTTGGTTTCAATGTGTTAGAAGAGAAAGAAATAGAAAATAACACTAATAACACCTATCTCATGTATATTACCAGAATAAATTAGAGAATATACATTAAAATCAATTTGTAAAATGGATCTTATTCAAATTCAGGATTCTGGTATTTTAAAAGATATATTTACTACATGTAAATGTCATACTGCAAATCTGTCACTCCTTAATATCAGAAGCTACATTAATACAGGAAATTTTTCTGAAGTTTCTATAAAATTACTGTACCCCATCACATTCCAGTAATACAGTAATCACTTGGCTCCAGGAGGACAAAGCATCCTTCCAAAAGTCGAGGAGAAACTGATTAGTGGATCCCGTTCCTGTTTCTAGAGGGCAGGTCTGTGACTCACTCCTGTTTCTGGCCCTGTGACGGGGATTTTTCAAAGAGGAAAAGTATCAGAATATCCGAAAGGCATGTGCAATTTGAAAAGAAATAGCATTTGTCCATTCTTTGTTTTAAAGTTACATTAAATTACACAGTTTTCAAGTAACATAAGAGAAGGGTGTGTCAAAGTGGGGCATGGGATGAAAAAGCTTGACACTAGCAGGCATGAAGATAAAATGAATAATTTAAGACTTAAAAAGAAAAAACTACTGAGATTCCGTCCATCACTCTTCTACTGCCTGGACAATTGTATAACCCCTAACTATTGTCCTACTTGCACCCCTCTGTACTCATCTTCCACACTGTGGAAAAGCACAGCTAAAACAAAGTTAACCAGGCTACACTACTACCCTTTCAAACAGTGCTCTATCAAGAGCTTGAGAATAAAAATAATCTAGCCTTTCCCTAGCTCTTCAGTCCCATTTTACATTCTTGCATACCCCAAACCTGATACTCTGGCAACAGTGACCTGATTCAAGTTTCATACATATGCTTTAAACTCTTTCAGGCTTTTGTGCCTTTGCTCATGTTTTTCTTTCTTCCAGCAATGTCCCTTTCCCTAACTTTATCAGCTCTGACCAAGCTCTCAAAGCTCGGCTCAATTTTCATAATTTGCTAAATTCCACAAACTACAAACCTGGCTAACTGTTGCTCCCTTAAATTCTACAAAGGCACATGTCCATTTCTAATTTATCAAAATAACCTTTCCAAAAACTCTCTCTTGCAGTAGACTATGTGTACTGTAAAACTTTCATCTCTAAAATTCTTTTACCTATATAGCTTATTCAATATTACAGTGCCACTGTACAGTAAATATTTAATATTAATTTAAATCCTGATCTTAATATTGCTTTTTACGGAATTTCTTTCTGTTATTTAAAAATATAGGTCTTCCCTCTCAAGACTTCATAAGAGCTAGCACCATACATGCACATACATGTACTGATGAATACTATACATTGGCAACATATGGTAACAGTTGAGCTGGCCAACTAAATCGCCTTCTGATCCATTTCCTAGAGTTATCCTGCTCTGCTGTGTATCACAGGGCACTGCATTTCCCAGGCCACAATGCCCTGTGGCAGATTTTGGCCAGGAACATTTGGCCAATAGAGGGACACTGATGGCTAACTAGAAGGTAAAAGAGATAGAAGCCAGGATTTCACTTCTTCTCTCCCTAATTCCTGTGGTATCCCTGGCAGAAGTTGTCTTCCCTGTAACTCTAGCTCCCTCCAAACTAGTCACTTCCCCAATGTCCCAGGTGCTACCAAGCACCTCTATTATGGCTCTCATTTCCCCACACAGCCCTGGCTTCTGTACTCTACTAACACTATCCTCTCTTCTGTTCCCTTCACACCTAAAGGTAGCATGGAGGTTTCCTTCTGTGGTTACAAAACTATCTAGATTATCTCACAGTCCCTTGTTAGGTTCCTGAGCAACTCCATTACTGTGGAACTAGTTCCTAGATTAACTTTTCTCTGCTGAATGACCTACTGTGGTTACTATTTTCTACATGAACCTTGCCTCACTCTGTTTTAAAATGCTATTTAAAAAAAATGTATCAAATAGCATAACACTTCACCACAGGACAGCATAAAAAGTTTCCACTGAAGAAAGCTTATTTTACAAATACATGTATTATTCAGAATACAGAGACAGCAAAACATCATGCATTAAATTTTTTTTTAAAAAAAGGAATCTAACATTTTACTCATATCAAAGTGTTCTTGTTGAGATGAAGTCATTACTCAGCTGCAATATTTGTGTGAATTAAGTCAATCACAATAAAAATGTCACTCTTTTGAAACTTATTTAGAAGAGGAAAAAATTGGAAGGATTATGGGATTTGGAGTCACTGCAGGCCAAGACATCTGTTCAAAGAGTGAAAAAAAATGTTAAAGACCTCCTGTCAGTGACTTATATTCAGTCCTTTTTTAAGACAAATCCAACTAATCAGTTTAACAGATATACATCCATCAAACATATGTCCCATATTTTTAAGAACATAAAATATAAAGCTTGAATCACTTTAAACTTAAGAAATAAAAGTGCAATCTGTAAACAGTCCAGCATTAACACTAATCATTACAGGACTTCTTGACTCCCTTTTCAAGTAATCATTACATGAAATTCTTTTACAGAGTGAGACTGATAAAATAGTAATTCACTGTCCGAACAATATTTCAAGAAATAAGATACTTCTATAGCAGAGAGTACATCTGTTATGTTTTTATTTTGTAATTAAATCTTAATCTAGGAATGCATATTCTTTTATCTCCACAAAAAGAAAACCATATCCCTAATGATTCCCAAACTAAAGCAAATGCTCAATTTAAGATTATGAACTGTGATGAAACATAAAGAAGGGTCTGACATTAATAATAACAACAATTTGGTAAGCATAACATTCTAAACATCTTATTTAAAACTATAGAGGCAATTTCACAGTGAATAAACAGAAACCTAAAAAGGTTACAAAATTTTTCCACAGTACCTACTATTTAAACAGTAAGAAGCAGAGTTTCTATTTGGTAGAGGTTAGCTCTAGATTGTAATTAACTATTCTCACGTTGCTTTCTCTAGAATAATATCCCACAGGGGTGATTTAGAACTAAAACTCAACTTGTTAAATTATGTTTCTAAGCTAGAACAACAGAATAGTTCCTAAGTAATATTTTAGGTAATCCTTATTTAATATTAAAAACTTGCGAGGATATAGCTCAATGGCACAGCACTTGTCTGGCAAGCACAAGATTCTGAGTTCGATTTCTGGTACCAAAAAATAAATAAATAATTTTAAAAATAAAAATAAAGACAAAAACTTTCATGCCTTTTAACACAAATATGTGTAGATGCTTTACTTAGCATCCATTATGTTCAGACTCTACAAATAAATTACAAGGATCTACCTCAAAAAATTCCTAAGTATTGGATTTATCAATTAATATGTATTTTTCACTAATATAAAGAAACAAAACTGAGATCAGCATCTGCAATCCACCATCACCTCTTATGACTTATTTATCATATGTTGATAGAATAATTTTGTAACATCTTTCTGGTTAACTGCTCCTCCTAGATGTCTGAGTAATGTCTGAAAATGCATCAAAATATCACTTTCCAAGACACTTTAAATTTTGACATTTGCTTTCTTGTTACTACATTGCCACCAATACCCTCTATAATGCTCCTTTACCAAAAAAAAAAAAAAAAAAAAAAAGAAGCCCCAATCTATGGAACAAATTTTATCAAAACTCATACACTTATAGTGAAATACAACTGAAACAAAATTTCATGATAACCTTATTCATATTTACTCTGCACCATGCACTTGATATTTTCTAACTTTTTAAAATACTGATGGCAGCCCACTAAACCTACTCACAAACCACTGACCTACAATGGAAGAATGTTGCTGTCAAACCTAGAGGGAGTGCTGACATGACATGAATGTTTTTTCATCTTCCTCACCATACTGAAGAAAGAAAAAGAGAGAAAGAACAAAAAGTGCTTTCTGAACACATTTGAGAAGGCAGTTTGTTAAATTTACCTTTTTAACTACTTTTAATTTTATAATTCAGTGCTATTAAGTACTTTGTAAAGTAATACCATCATTACCACTATCCATTTGCAGAACTTCCATCATCTCAAATAGAAACTATACGAATTAAACAATAACTCTCCAATGTTCAGCCTCCAGCCCCTTGTGACCGCTCACTGATTTTATAACATTTTATAAATGTATAAAAAGAAATGAATATAGTATAATGAACCTTTGTAGATACGTGACCTAGACTTAACAAATCATCAAATTTTGCTACATTTATTCACCCGTCCCAGATCTCTTTTGTCATTCTGAGATAAGAGATTAGGCCATGGCAAAGCTGGCTGGAGTAGTAGGCATGACCTGTTAATTACAAATAGGGACACATGCACAGAACAGCTTCCAAATCCCTCTACATGGACTTCTCCCAAGAACTCTAGCAAGTTTTCTATAGGATGACCTAGACCTAATGTCAGCCTGAGATGTGAGATCCCAGCACCGCCTCTTTGAAACTGTATATAAAAGTTTCCTCCAGATTTGGACAATATAAAGGACACACTGATGCCATGATGAGCTTGCTATCCATAACTTTCCATGCAGCATATACTTTTATTTTTGCTTTTACCCTTTTTCTCTTTACTCCACCCAAGCCTCCTTCACAGAGCCAGTGTCTCCTTTGGTTACTGGTTTCCTTGCTAAGTCAAAATACCCAACACCCAAAGTTAAAGGGGCAAGGATTTATTTAGATCACAGTTCGTAGAGGTCCATACAAACCAGTCCATAGTTGGCTGGCTCCAAGGCAGAGTAGCACATGGCAGAAGGGCATCTTAGAAGAGAAAGACAGTTTACTGCAGGCAAAGACAGCAGAAAGAAATAAGGAACTTTAAACAGTGTCTTTCTGCCCCTTTTATCTTGTCCAGGCTATTCAGGGTGGATAGCACCCATACCCTTAATCTTAGTACCCTTGACCCTAGCATTGCACCATGAATCAATTTCAGTGTCATACACTCTAGATCTAGCCACCTCTGAAAAAGCCCCCTATGACCATATGAGGTTTTAGGGGAACATCTAGAAACAATCCATAACACTCCTCCACTCTTCTCTTTTACTTTCTTGAATAAATTTGCCCAGCCAGGCGTGGTGGCACACACCTGTAATCCCAGCACTCGGGAGGCTGAGGCAGGAGGATCACTGTAAGTTCAAGACCAGCCTGGGCTACAAGGTGAGTTCAAGGCCAGCCTGAACTGCATAGTGAGACCCTGTCTCAAAGATAAAATAAAATAAAATAACACAATACAATACAATAAAAAATTAAAAAT